AACTCATGTAATAAAGAATATTTTTAAAAGAAAAAGAGGAAGAGGAGAAAAACAACCAGTAAACCTGATCAATACACTGAAAAGAACAATGATCTCTCAATTGCCAAATCTGTTGACTTTGTCTTAGTCCTAATCCTTCTCAATTTCTCTGCAGCTTTTGACACTCTTTTTTCTGGGATTTCATGACATTACCTTTTCTTGGCCCTGGCTCCTAGCTGACTATTCTTTCTGAGCCTCCTCCATTAGTTAAAATTCTATATCATACCCCTAACTATGGATGGACCCCGAAGCTTGGTCCTGAGCTCTATTCTCTTCTTTCTCTATACTCTTTCACATGGTGAAAGTGTATTACGGATATTAGTTTCCATGGGTTTAATTATCTCTATACAGATGATTCTTGGACCCATATATTTAGTCCAGGTTCCTTCTCCAAACTCCAGTTGTGCCTCTTTAACTGCTTATTGGATATTTCAAACACATCTTATCTCAAACTCAACACATCCCAAGCTGAACTCATCATGGTTTCCCTACTCCCTACTTCAGAACTTCCCTATTTCTTCTGAGGGTACCATCATTCCTCTAGTTACACAGGATTGCAATCTGAGTATTATTCTTGACTTCTCATTTGCCCTCACCCCAAATGTCCAATCAGTAACCACATCTTGTCATTTCCCCCTCATTCATAATGATTTTTCACATGCTTTCCCTTCTCACACTCCCAAAGGCACCACCGTAGTTCAGTCTCTCATTAGCTCTTGCCTGGACTACTGTAACATCCTCTTCATTGACCTCACTGACTCAAGCCTCTCCCCTTCCCAATTCATCCTCCACACAGCTGAGAAAGTAATATTCCTAAAGGGCAAGTCTAGTCATTTCACTCTCTTACTCAATAACCTTCAATGTTTCTCTATTGCCTCTAGGATCAAATGCTATGTAACTTCCTCCGTTTAAATTTTCCTTTTTCCATGCCTTTGTATAGGTATAACCCTGTCCCAACTTACCTTTCAAGCCTCATTCTACATTACTCATCTTCCTGAACTCTGCTGTCCAAATGCAGTAGCCTCCCCTTCTGTTCTTCACCCACCATATTACAGCTCTCATTTCTGCACCTTTGTACTGGCTACTTCCTGTGCATGGAATGTACTCCTACATCAACTCTTTGAATCTCTGCTTTCCTTCAAGGTTTGGCTTAAGAAAAATAGTGTATATCAGTGGTGTCCAAGTCAAACAGAAACAAGGCTACTCACCCATACATAAGGATCCCTGCAGGCTGAATACTGTCTTAGAAAACCACTAGTCACATTATCTATGTCCTATTGTATTATTTGGAGGTGGGGTTAAATGTTTCCCAATTATATGTGAATCTGGTTTCTTTGTTGCAGCCTGAGGTTTTTGACACCTCTGGTCTGCATGAAAACATTCTAGGTCTCCCAATCTGCTTGTATTCTCCCTCTCAATCTTTCTATACCTTATATTTATTTTGTATTTCATCATATATATATTTGCATATATATATATATATACATAATCTATATATGTGTGTAAATGTGTGTGTGTGTATATATATACACAATCTATATATGTGCATATATATGTGTGTGTATGTTTTTATATATATATATATATATACAGATATATAGATATAGACATAAATATATATATTCATTTATGAACCTTTACTGAGAGAATGTAAGCATCTGGGGGGTAGTGACTTTTAACTTTTGTTTTCTTTATCCCCAGTGCCTAGCACAAAGTGCTTAATGAATGCTTGCCAATTGATCCATGAGACCTTCGCCCCATCTCAACTTGAGCCCTTCTCAGATTTTGCCAGGATCTCTCTGTCTCTCAATATCCCTGCCAATGCTTCCTTTTGGTTTTCCTCCTCCTTCCTGGATGCTGATTTTTCCTCCATCCCCATCCTTGCAGGATGTAGCCTAGAAAGCCCACTCCACCAGTCCCTAGGCTTGTCCAGGACTTGGGATCCTCTAAGCTACTAGTTGAGGTGGAAGATATAGCCACTCATGTCACTTGGATGAGAAGGGGGTCATCAATTAGAATTCTTCAGGTAAGATGTAAGACTCCTGGGCCTTAACAACTGTCCTAATGGCTCTTCAGATCCCCCAAGAATAGTCATCTATTATGATGATGAATTCTAAGAATCCCTGTGCCTTACTACACTCTAAGAATCAGAGGGCATTTTCAAACCTCCTGCAGCTGAACCCTCCTATTTGAAAAACCAGGATGGATTTTCTTTTCTTTCTTTCTTTCTTGCTTTTTTTTTTTAACAACAAGCATTTATTAAATGCACATTATACATATGGCACAAAAATGAAATAGTCCTTGCCCTCAAGGAGCTTACATTCTCTCAGCAGATTTTATTTTTTCATTACTTAAAATCTGTTATTATCTCATCCATGTAGACAATGACTCCAACACTGCAGATGACAACCCATCCTTGCCTTCTTTATTCTGTGTGACTATTGGCCGTGTTCTCCAAACACTCCTCCACAGGGCAGCATCCAACATGATGGGGGCTTTCTTCCTGATCTTCTGATGTTGCCAATGAAGCACTACAACAAGTGTTTATTAAGCTCCTACTAGATGCTCTAAGTGCTGGAGATACAAGTATAAGGAAAAAGACAGTCCCTGCCCTCAAGAAGCATATATTCCAATGGGGAAAGATAACACAGAAAAGGGGGCTAAAAGGAATGGGGGGGGGAGAGAATGAAGAGAATGAAGGATGGCTAGTCTCTACCCCTCCTCAAAATGGGATTTTAGGAAGATCTAATCAATGGAAGAAAAGGATTGAAGGGGCAAAGGAAGAAGGCAGCTAGGCATGACAATCATTAACAGGATTACAGACTCTGAGCAGGAAGAGATTTTTAGAGGCACCTTAATTCAGCTCTCTCATTTTACAGATTAGATTGTATTCTAGATTATATCTATGATCCACCCAATTGAAATCTATAATCCTATCCCCCTCCATGATTTCATCCAGTCCTCTGCCTTTGTCCACACTTAGAATGGATTCCACTGCCCCAACCCTCATTTCCTTCAAGGCCTAGGTGTTTTCATTGCCCATCAGAATCATTACAGTTAATACTATTAACAGTTTGGAGTGTGGTTAGCTGTAATCAGGAGGAAGAATTACGAGACAATGAAAAGGCAGGACAAAAGATGCAGCTTGGCCTCTATGATGAAAAAAGCTTCCTTAGCTTAAAATCACTGAAGCCAACATTCATCTGGGCCAGAGGAGTGAACAAGAAAACTTCTGGAAGCTCCAACTGTTGAGGCTTAGGGGAGCTGGAACCCCAAAATCACAACACATGGGTCCTGTCCAAAAGAATTCGACCCAAGCCTTTTTTCAGACAAAGACAAGGTTTATTAGAATGTTGTCATATTAGGCAGACTCTTAAGGAGTCTGAACATTAGTGAGCTAGACTATGAGAATCTGAACAGCGGCCAGATTTAAGAATCTGAGCATCTTAATGGCGACAAGATGGACTTTATATACAGGAAGACTGTGGGAGAGATCTAGGAGTGGCCAAGTAGTCTGCTGGGACTGTGAGGTAATAGAATGCCAGGGACCTGGACCATATGGCCAAGGGAGAATGGAGCCTAGCTAGAATTAAGGGCCAGGGGCTATAGGGAGGTAAGGCAATGGAAGGAAACATCAGTTTCCCCATTATGTTCCTTTGAAAAGGAATGTTACCCACTGGCTATTCCTGAGTCTGACTATGAGGTGGATTTGATACTGCATAATTATTTGAATCCAAACAGAGCTAAGGATCTTTTATCTTGTCATATTTGGGCCCTGCAGTCTTTTCTGTCAGATTTGTGTCTTCCTTTCACCTACAGTTGGTAGCAAATAGTGGATACCAGACTATGTCCCCTCATCGTTCCCTGGAAGCAAGCCTGTGCTCCTTTCCAGTCAACCTCCTCTCTGATTTTCTATTTGCCTTCATATCCACTACTTAGCACTGTTCTTGGCACATAAGTAAGGGCCTAAAAATGCTCATTCATTTATTCATGTATTCATTCATTTATTCACAAATCACCATCCCTTTAGTCACCCATATTTGCAAATTAGGCATCATCCTTGATTCTTCATTCTCTTTTATAAGGGATATCTGATGAATTACCAAGTCTTGTCAATTCTATTACCACATCTCTTGCATCCATCTCCTTCTTTCCACACACACATTCACTGCCCTAATTCAGGCCTTCATTATCTCTTGTGTAGACTAGTAAATAACCCTTCTGCCACTCTCTAGTCTCTTCCCTTGATCACAGCTACAAAACAGATATTCCTAAAGTACAGGTTTGACCACCTCACTATCCTCACCAAGAAGCTTCAGTGACCCCTACTGCCTCTAGGATAAAATACAAATGTCTCTTTTTGGCATATGAATCCCTTTCCAACCTGGCTCCAATTTGTCTTTCTAGACTGATTTCACATTGCTAGCCCATGCATTAAGTTCCAATAGGCCTGCTTTCTATATCCTCCAATTTCCAGGCTTTGTACCTTTGTACAATCTATTTCCCACATCTGTTCCTAGTTCCTTCCCTTTAAGACTTAGGCCAAGTGCTTCCTCCTACCTAAGGCCCTTTCCTGATGCCCTCAGTTATTAGCAATCTCCCCAACAACCTCCTCTCCCCTCAAATTACTTCATATTTACTTTGTGTACATTTTATATTAGCTTATCTAAATCAGTGTTGTTCTCTCCTTCCCTCACATACACACACCTAGGAATGTGAACCTATTGAGGGCAAGGACTGTTTCTTTCTTTCTTTTTCTTTTTTTTTTGGTAATCATCCCAGCACCCAGAATAGTTACTGACACATAGTAGGTGCTTGATAAGTGCTTGTCAAATTCAACTGAAATGGGAGGAATTTATCTAAAAGATAAATAATATTTCAGCCCAATGAAGCACCACATGTCAGATGCTTAAGACATTTTTTCCAACCAAACTGAATTAGAAAGTTTCTAATGTACTTACATTGCTCCATTTGTGTAGACTGTATCACTTCCCTCCACATACTGCACCTGAGCTGGGTAGACATGCTGCACCTGCTGTACAGTCTGTACTTGCTGTACCTGAAAAATAAATACAAGGGACATTGTGCATTGTAGATATGGATGTAGACTACTGAGTCTGTTCTAATGGTTGCTGTAAGATGCAATCGTGTCATTAAAAAAATAAACTACTAGATAGACAGTAATTTAAATTTAAGTTCTTGTTAATTCTGGATGAAGCACAGTGTTTAAATTGAGGCATATGAATTCTGTTTTACAAAAATGTACACACTTTAAAATGTTTGGGTTTATAATTCTGAAAGGTTCATGTTAGTGACTTCAGTTGAATGCAGTTCTTAAGATGCTCATTATCACTTCAATAAACTTAAAAAAATCAGAATTTCAGACCTACATATAAAGCTATATAATACATATATACTATTAACATTGCTTAAGAAAAAAAGGATTCTTGCCAGTATAACTAACTGGTAAATAATATGAAAGGTTTTATTTCAATTGCTGGTATTCATGGCTGCTAATTAGCATCATTACTGAAAGGAAACCACACAGAATGATCACACAAACCTATACTGATCTTAAATTATTGATTTTATAAATTAGAGTATGCCATTTTTTGACAGTAGACATGAAGTGCCCACAGATAACCACAGTCCAATACGTGCTGCCTTGACTACAATCTCCAAGGACCCTGGGTGACTGAGAAAGGCACTTAGTTGGCTACCATCTGAACTGTGAGCACTGTAAGTTACATTATAACAGACAGTTTGATGAAAATAATATTAACCTCATATGGTTATAGGAAGCAAAACATGAAATGCTCTAACAATTCTCAGGTCCCACTTAGGCTGCATAAACTATGCAAATCAACTTAATTAGCATAAGTGCCCAATGGTACTGGCAAAGTTGAAAAAAAAAATGAAGGTTGTACAGATCATCATCAAACCAAAGGCTTCTCTACTTCACTGACAAGTATTAATGAACCCACATAGAGCACTGTAGCACTTCCCTGAAAATAAAACAGTGGCAGACTTTTAAGTAACAAAAATTTTTTTGTACAAATGAAACAGACCACTGAAAAACTTTTGATATAAATTCCTTTCTATAATCAGAAAAAAATCATCATAGATTGCATAAAAAATCAGACAAGATCAGACAATGGGTTCATTGTTTGACTTTACATATGAATATATATGAAAATAAGCTTATTAGAGAACATCTTTCAAGATTTTTGTATTTTTCTCTACCAAGTCAAATGTTTTTTGTAATCAATTAACAATTAGAAGTGGGATTTTATGTTCTATACCTCTCAGTAACACTCCCTCCACAGGTGCTGACCACATAGTCTGTCATACTGTGTGAATGGTGTCCCTCTAAAAATATTCCATAAAGGATCTATCCCATGGGCTAAACATTGCATTATTTCTTGAAAAAGTTGTCTTTAGAGCTGTTGAAAGCTCTTGAATCTGATTTTACAACTATTAAAATAAAAAGATATTGCTCAGATATCTATATCTATAGCTCAGATATCTATGCAGTTTTCTGCAACCTGTGTTTCCTCCTTAAGGAAGAATATTAAAGAAATATGATTTAGCTATAAAATGAAAAAGATTGTACGCAAACAAAATAAATGCAGTTAGAATTAGAAGAAAAAGTCAACTGGGAAAAACATCTTTGCAGGAAATTTCTCTGATATTGGTCTCATAGGCAAGATATTGAGGGAATTGATAGAAATATTTAAGAACAAGAGCCATTTTACAAAAAGTAGTCAAATTATAAGTCGCAACTTTTTGAAAAAAGTTACATAAGCTGGCAATAACCATGTAAAAATATCCCAAGTCACTAATAACAAGAGAAATGTAAATTAAAATATACCTCATACTCATCAGATTGACAAGGATTTCAAAAAAAAGGAAAATGATGTTTGTGGAAAGGGCTGTAGGCATACCAAGGTACCATTGATTTAACCATTCTGGATAGAAATTTGGAGCCATACCCCTCAAATCACTAACTTGTATATACTCTTTGTTTTTGCTAGGCATATTACACCCCTCCCTGAAAGGGTGAAAGACAGAGGAAAAGGACTGATTCATACAAAAATATTTGTAGCAAAGGACTGAAAATAAAGTGAGTAGATATCCATCAGTTGGGGAATAGCTGAGCAAATTATAGTACTGTATATGACAGTAATAGAATACCATTATGTTATAAGAAATGATGAAAGGAACAGATGGATTCAGAAAATATGAACTGAGGTAGAGTGAAGTGAGCAGAACCAAGAGAACTATTTATTTAATAACCACAACATTATAAATGAAAACTTTAAAAACTGTGATCAATATAATGACCAATCATGACTCCAGAAGATTGATGAAGCATGATTCCTATCTTTTGTCAGAGAGATGATGGACTACATAGGTACAAAATACAAAACACATCTTCAGACATGCCCAGTGTGTGATTTTTTTTTTTGCCTGACTACTTTGTTACAAGAGAAGGCTTTTAATTTGGAGGTAGAGAAAAGTAGGGTGATATGAATGGGTAGTGATATTGATGGAAAAAAAAAGAAGAGAGAAAAGAGCATCAATTAAACATTTTAAAAATATTCAGAAGAGAGCCAAAGGAAGTTCAGAAGGGGACACAGACAAGCAGGGTGTTATCATGTTAAATTTAATATTCACTTTAAAAATACTAAGCTGTACATAACAGAGAATTAAATTTCCACATAAGATCCTCTTTGTTCTTTGTATACTGAAATGTTCATGTTCAGTGATTTTGTTAAGTTCATAATAAAAAGGGGAAATTAAAAAAAACACTTCAGAATTTAAAAGACAAAAGCATCATATTGATCCCATGCTTAAGAACAAGCTCCCCATTGTCTTTCAACAACAGCAACAAATAGTTATTAAGTGCACAGTACATATAAGATGAAGACATAGCCAGGCTGTTTTAGTGGATAAAGAACTGGTCTGAGTCAGCATGACTTGAGTTCTAGTGCTGCTTGGACACCTACTAGCCATTTGATCCTGGGCAAGTCATTTAACCTTTCAGTGGCCTCAGACAACTATCTAAAACTCTAAGTTGCAAAACAGTTGCTGAACTGCACTGGTGGATGGATTTTCTTCAGTTGGGAGTCCTCTACACTCCAAAATCACACTAAATTTTTTTTTGTGGAGATGAGAGGTCTAAATGACTTGGCTGAGCATCTGAAATTCACTGCCCATTAATTAGTTCCATTTGAAGAGTCAACAAGGTCATTTCACTCCAGTGAGGTCAGCCTTACTATTCCTCATGTATATAGCTTCCTTTTTCTTGCCTCATTTCCCTTACTCCTAGGGTTCTCTTCTTTCCTAAGTGCCCTCCTGCAGAAAATATGTTTAATGATACATATCTACTACTTTATTCGGAGCCAGATTCAATATTTATTTCCTCTAAAAAGTCTTCTCTTGATAAACTTATGGTGGTGGAGCCAATAATCACATGAAAAAATGCTTTAAATCACTATTGATTAGAGAAATACAAATTAAAACAACTCTGAGATACCACCTCATACCTATCAGATTGGCTAACATGACAAAAAAGGAAAATTACAAATGCTGGTGGGAATTGGAAAAAATGAGACACTAATGTACTGCTGTTGGAATCGTCAACTAGTCCAACCATTCTGGAGAAGAATTTTGAACTATGTCCAAAGAGCTATAAAACTATGTATACCCTTTGACCTAGCAATACTACTACTGGGTCTGTATCTCATAGAGATCAAAGAAAAGGGAAAAGGACCTATTTGTACAAAAATATTTACGGCAGCTCTTTTTGTGATAGCAAAGAATTGAAAATTGAGGGGACTGAGGAATGTCTGAATAACTTGTAGCGTATGATTGTGATGCAATACTACTGTGCAATATGAAATGATGAGAAAATGGTTTCAGAAAAACCTGGGAAGACTTAGATGAACTAATACCAAATGAAGGAAGCAAAACCAGGAGAACGTTGTACATAGTAATAGCAATATTATAAGGATGATCAACTATGAAATAGCTACTCTGATCAAGATAATGATCTGACACAATTCCAAAGGACCCATGAGGAAAAATGCTATCCACCTTCAGAGGGAAATGATAGACTCTGAATGCAGACTGATGCATACTTTTAAAAATGTTTTTCTTGTTTTATTTTCTTTAGCTGTATCTTCTTTTGCAACATGGCTAATATGGAAATATGTTTGCATGACTTCCCATGTATAGCTGATATTAAATTTGCTTGAATTCTCAAAGAAGAAGAGAGAGGCAGAATTTGGAATTCGAAATTTAAAAAAAGATTGTTAAAAATTTTTTTACTTATAATTGGGAAATAATTAATGAAATAAATAAAATACATTTTTAAAAGTCTTCTCTTTTCTCCATTTTAATTTTTAATTTATTATTTTATTTAATTTTCCCCATCTTAAAATGATCCCTCCCTTGCTTTGAGCACTTACTATACTCATTAATGCACATTTTACCCTACTTATATTCTTATATACTTATATATACTTATATTCTCCAGCAGTTTCATGTATGAATTGAACAAAATATCACTCTGATGATCAACTAGTAAAAAAAAACCACCACATTTATTATGTTTGCAGTTAAGTGTCAGACATTGTACATGTACTTAGGATTCAAAGAAAAAAATAAAACAGCTTCTGTCTTCAGGGAGCTCACATTCTAATGGGATAGACAGCATGTACACATAAGTAGGTACAGAATATACCCAGAATGAATACAAAGTAATTTGGGGAGGGAGAACACTATTATCTATAGATGGTGGCAAATTGAGTTGAGTTTTAAGAGTAGGCAGTGGGGAGGGAGGATTTTTAGCTTGAGCATAGCCAGTATAAAACCTCAGTGATGGAAGATAGGATATTATCTGAACAGAACAAATCTGCCAGGATGAATGGACTGTAGAACGCAGGCAGGAAAGAGTCAGGTTTTGAAAGGCTTTAAATGCTGGAAGAGTTGGTCCTAGAAGTAAATAGGGAGCCACTGAATTTTGTAGAGGTAAGGAATGGAATGGTAATACTT